GTCAGAAAATTCTCTCTCTGTCTAATCCAACTAATTCCTAGACTCTCAATAGGATGAGTGCGACTAAATTCTTTCCTAAAATTTCATTTCTATTATTTCAAATTGGCATCAGTTTAAAACAAATAATGATTGTAATTTAAAATTTAAAAATCTTATCATATATTAGATGTTATAAAAATGACAGTTCTAAGAAAAGTTGAAATATTTCATTGGTTTTATCACGGCATAAATTAGTTAAAAATAAAATGTAATATTTTATTAAATATTGAAAGATTATTATACGTTTAGTAAAGTAAAGCCTCTTGCAAAGCATGCGCCATTGACTAGTATATTATATATACCTTCTTTGGTTGTTATTCATGGACAAGTGAATAACAAAGAAGCAGATATATAGTATATATCCCAAGAGGCTTGTGGACCAGGACTGATTGATGTGGAAGTTTGTGGCTGTTTGTCTTTCTGAAACTCCTGCGTGTACGATATATTCCCAGAAGTCTGTTGAACCTTATTTCTAGGACCATTGAGCCCAAAGTCCACCATGATTAGAACAAGTTACAAAATTGTGTCCATTGTTATGTACTCACGGTCCATTGAGTCACCTAAAGACTTCACCAGTATGCAGTTAGAATGACTTGCCAAGTGTTTAGATCGGGGTTGATATTTTGCGCATGAGAAACTTAAGTCCATGTTATCATATTCAGTTTAGTTGTATCATATAACTGCTGTCATCCCTATTCTCTCTCTCACCTGTGTTTGGGTGGTCCGTACTTATTTAGGCTAGGCATGTGTAGCTCTTTACTTGTAGCCCCTACTTATTTAGGCTATGCATATGTAGTTCTTTACTTGTAGCCCCTTACATCATCATGTTCTTTCTCTGCTTATAATGAGCTTATGTCTGTCTATCAACATCATGTAAAAATTGCCTTCCTTCTCTCTTCTTGTATGTGTGATCTCAACTCAATGCTTGTCCATCCTGTTGCACTTAGTGAAAAGCACCAAAAAAAATTAGCTGATGATGACTTCTTTCTCATCTTATTTAAAAAATTAGCTGATAATGGTGACCTTCTCTCTGCATCTCTGCTTTGGATATTTCTGTCCTTCTATGTCTTTGGAGAGTTTAGCCTCACAGAAATCTTGGGATGATGAAGTGGCAAATTACAGGGGCGGGGCTCTAGTTGAACAATGGCCAGGGTGAGAAGATTTTTGGTTTATGTTACAAAGACATGGACATGTGTCAATGTCTGACACAGATATTACCATCAGAAATGCCAACCGAAAAATTGGCCATTCTGACATGACACATCCTTATGTTGTATGTCTTATTCACCCTGTATCAACGCTTGGCAAAGACCATGGACATGTCTGTCCAGGTTACATAACTGTTGGGTTTCTGTTGTCTGGATATTAGTTCTGCTCTTTGTAGATGGATGACCTCTTGACAATTGAAGCCTAACTTCGCTGGGAGTAACAACAGCCACTCAGAAAAGCTGGGTTTGGCTAGGACCTGATTCATAAGAGGGGCTGCTCATCTTTGTTTTGATGTTTTGTTTCGCATTCTGGACTTCTATTTTCCTTCTTCCTCTTCAAGGCCTAATGAAATCTTTCCCATCATCAAGAAAATAATGTTATGGACAGAAAAGATGGTGCTTATGAAAAAGAACTGGAACTACCGGAACATTTGCTTTATTATTTTGTATAGATGTTGCTTCTTAGTTTTGAGTTATAGATATTTAGATAATGAGTAGAGTATCCTGGCTAAAGTTTGGAGATCTGTATTAAAAGCAAATAGAAACTTGTGGGTGTTTATTATTGATTGTCCATTATTCTAGTGCATCTCTTCTCATTAGATTAGTGAAAGCAAAACATTTCCTTCTTGCTGAGAGCAAGTAGTCGTTTTTTTGCATGGTCGTACTGTGAGATTAATTACATCTGCATGTGAGTTCGCATAGGGAAAACAGAAAATTTGATCGTTTTCTGCAGGTGTGGAAACAACCCGTCATTTCTTGTTGGAATGGCTTAGTTACACATACCGATACATACCTGTCGGGCTCTTGGATATCATGCCTCAACGACTAAATTGGCGGCCCCCGAGCTTTTTTGGTCGAGACAACCTCGAAACCCTAATGGCCTCTGATTCTGCTGCTGACTGGGTACTGAACCCTCTCTCTTTCTCTCTCTCATAATTAGGAAGTTTTTTTCTTTCTTTCTTTTCTTCTTTTTTGTTCTTTATGGAGTTGGTAGTGAGTATACTGTGGCATATGGTCTTGTATGCGGGAAATAGTGCCCAGCCAAACATGGCCTGATTTTTTTTTATTGTAGATTCGGATATCCGAGATGTTGCTTGGCCCTGTACCTGCTGGCTTTACATTTACCCCAAAGCATAAATCAAATGCCTATGACCGAGCTGAAAATGGGTGAGCTTTGAAGCTTGGTTGTTGAACTCAACCATCAGTTGCTGTGTGTTCCTCAGGTACTTCACTCCTTGATCCTTTTACTAATAATATCTTTTCTTTTAGAATATGTGCAATGAAATATATTGAGATTCTTTTTGAAAATTTGTTACATTTTTTAGTGTCACTGGATTTTTAATTATTCTGAATTGTACTCTTTGTTATAGAAAAATAACTTTTATATGTAAGATTGAATATTATTATGCAATCTGAGAAGCTATACATTTATAGAAAATGTAAGATGTAAAAATGTATGAGGAAAATATGACCCTTCTTCCTTTTAATTTTTTAGAAGTTCTTTTTCATAGTTTTCCTTTCTAAAAAATTTCAAAGATCCCCTTTTCTTCTAAAAGAAGCCCAGATTCTTATTTCTCTTTAAAATTTATATCAGCAACAAATTGCCTTTATGAATGGAATAATCATGAACCCACAATGTTCACTGTCCCTTTTAAAATGGATGGTGCAGATGATGCACGGTGCGCATGCAGGGGGCAAGATTGTGGCCTCACCAAAACAAATTCCATTAATTGTTGTGTTCCAAACTGTTGCAGAATCTCAATTCTTCTGATACGACCTTCGAGAACAAGCCCTACTTGGAGGAATAGAAAACTTTATCAGCACCAAGACTGTTGGCTGGCCAAGAGCTATAATTTCTAATCCGATTTACTTTTGTGGAAGTTAAATTATGTTAAGCTTGTGATTCAATAAATTGTATCTTACACTATTGCAAATATACATTTATGGAAACGTGGATTGAGGAGCTTATTCTAGATTAGGAGGGTTGATTGGTAAACTGAACGATACATTTGACATCCATGGAAGGAGATCATTTTCTTATTTTTCTGTCAAAAATGATCAAATGTGAGATTTGCTAATCATTTTTTTGAACTCATGAATATTCTATATTTTGATTTATCTCAAGATAAGAAAACAAAAAGGGTGTGGTTTCTATAAGGTTGCAACCTTAAACAATCCAATTAAGGCGCACCTCCAAATTTTGTCATGTAATTTTGGTGTAAAAAATTATTAGGATTATCTGAAAATCTATTTTCATATCTAATTATACAATTTTAAACTCCAAAAATGGTTAAAATCAAGTCGATCTATAAAAATTCAGCCCAGTCATGGTTGGGCTGAACTAAGGCCCTGATTGACCCGGCCCATTACCAGCGTTACCTTAGGCATTTGAAGCCTTGTGGCGTTTAGTGGCTTCTTATGCATTATGCATGATAGCATAAGAAATAAATGAACTTTGCCCAAGAAAATGATCCTAGTGCTTGCGTGGCTCTCATCATACCAAAGGGTTCCTTTTGTCAACCTTTTGTTAACCCAGCCTTACCAATTGAAAATTTAGAATTGGGGACACGGTTTTGGTGAGTCAGCCGCCTTGCCTATTGCCTAGCGGTCCCTTGTCTATCTAATATCTATCTCCAAGATGGACTTCAAAAAATGTTATATCCACTAAAAGTTAAAATGGATTGTGAAGAAAAGAATTAAAAATATATATATTTATACCTTTTGAAAAATAAAAATTCAAATTTAGATCATGGTTGAGCTTATTGAACTCTAAAATTTTGAAGTGAAAATACATCTTGGAGATATACTCTCTTTAAGCACATTGATAACAAATAGCTTGCTATTGTTTTTGTTTTTTTGGTAATTCACTAGGGAGGGCGTCTCCTACCCATAGTAGGAATACAAGGTGATCCTGTTTCTCTATTTTTATGCACTCTAGTGGTAGAATCATTCAGTCAAATACTTTAAGGTGCAACACACAATGGCCTCATAACGGGTCTACGAATCTCTTCAAATGGCCCAACCATCTCTTACTTACAATATACAGTTGATACCTTGCTCTTTATTAAGGTAGCACTAAAGTTTATTGAGGTAGCACTAAAGTACCGAATCTATGGATTTTCCTTATGCTTCCCCTACAGCATAAAACTTATATACTTCCCCTTATCCAACCGTCCATTTTGAATGGAGGGCTAAGATTGTCTCAATCACAATGTCACGTCTCTACATTATTTTATTTTAAATTTTTTTCTGTAAACTAGTTTGATGCCAAAATTTTGTACCTCCAATCTTCTATTAAACTTGTACTAGAGAAAAAATATAAAAAAAATATTTTCAATAAAATAAAATGACCAAAATACCCCTGAAAAATTCAAGGGGTATTTTGGTCATTATATTTTATCAAATATTTATTTTTTAAATATTTTTTATAGGTGACAAGATGGCACGTACCAAATTTTATATTCATACAATTTATATAAAATAAAATAAAAATATAATACTTTGAGATGTCAAATCTAAGATCAAACGGTGAGTGACTCTCTTGATCAAAATTGGACGGCTGGATGGTAGGGGAAGCACATATCTTTTATGCTGTAGGGAAGTATAGAAACTTTTCCCTTTCCTTAAATGCTATTAACTTACCTCCAGAGCAAGAATTAATATACACAACATAAAACAAATAGGCATCAATTGCGTCGATGAAGATATCACTAGATGGGCAAAATGGATGGAATGTGGTACTAACACTTTGCTGGCAACATACCTAGGTATCCCTATCACAAATCGTAGGTTGCCTTTCTCCTCTTAGGATCCAATAGTCCAAGGGTTCCGATACGTATTGGACTACTGGAAAAGTCGATATCTCTATCAAAGCCACCCTATCCAACCTACCCGTTTATCAAAACCACCCTTTCCAACCTACATGTTTACTACTACTCTTTGTTCAAAGCCCCTACCTGGTGAAACAACTTGAAGTTATGATGAGGAACTTTCTATACAGTGGCTCACAAGAGAACAATAAATTTAAGTTTGTCCGATGGAATGTAGTATGTCTTCACCAATGGGAGGATTGAGCATTTAGAGGCTACGAGTAGTCAATGAAGCACTATTAACCAAGTGGTGGTGGAGAATTAGCTAAGACTGCAAGTAGTCAATGAAGCACAATTACCAAAAGGCTACCTATAAAAAGATCTCCCTCGTTGATTTGGAAAAGGATTGAATTAGCTAGATTCCTATTTCTAGCATATAGCAGAGTGGTGGTTGGTAATGGGAATAGAACTAGATTATGGTCCTCCAAATGGATAATATTCCTTTAAAAAATACAATTTCCATAACTATTCAAGCGCTCAACACATAAAAAATGCTCTATTACAACCGTCATAAATGAGGAGGCAGATCAAGTTGTTTGGGATATAAGATTCAATGTTTGAAGAGTGGATCGAGTAAAAGAACAACAATTTTACTCCCTTGATGGGCGAATTGTACGAGTTTTTCTCCTATCTCATAAAATAAAATAGATTGGTGTGGAAATTAGACCCAGGAATTGTTTTTATACTCAAGTCTCTTATGCTCAGGTCACAAGACAGACATTTGCATACCAACAATACAGTAAGTAAGCAAGGTGTGGTCATATAAGATACCTCACAGAGTGAAAACCTTTATCTGGCTGGTCGAACTCCTTCGATTGAATAGCTCGGGAAAAGGGGCACTGGCAACTACAAATATTGGTTTACTCTAAGTGATGCGGAAACTAACAACCATCTATTCATACACTGCCCTCTGTTTAGACGATTTTGGGAGTGGGTCATGCAGAAATCTTTGTAGAGCTTGGTTTTGCCTCAAGCAACTCAGCAACTATTTGAACAAGGGTGGTCCCTCCTTTCAGAACCCATGGCATCACCCCTTTGGTGGACCATGGTTACCACATTGTTTGGTGATCTTTGGAAAGAAAGACACTGCAAATCTTTTGATGGTAAAGAAGTAACTCCTACTTGCTATTACCTCCTCCGTCATCAATTGGGCGCAAGCCTAAATATGTGTCTGAGGGATTTTTGTTAACAATTTTAAAGACTTGTTTTTCAGTACAAAGGAGAGCATAGTAAAATATTCACTATGGAAATCTCCACTAATCCATTGGTTTAAACTGAACTTTGATGGCAATGTGAGAAATGAAGATCAGGTGGCTGGGTATGGTGGACTGCCCAGAGATGGTAATGGCTCTACCTTGTGGGCTTTAAAGCACGGTGTTCACCATCACACAAAAGTGATTGTGGTAGGAGACTCGGTAAATGTCATTAAATAGTATCAAGCCACTGACTTTATGCCATGGACCTGGAGCCATATTATGGATGAGATTTTATATGCTCTCTTTGGACGCGATACGATCCTTGTTTATATTAATAGGATGCGATACGATCCTTGTCTGTATCTATAAGGAAAGGAATGTGAAGCTGTTAGACTTATAGAGGCAATGAAGCTAATTGTAACTTATTTTGTGTTTGTCCTCTTCTACATTTGCTCTTTTCTTTTTTGTAATTTTCTAGCTGTAACTTTCACCGTCTCCATGAAATCTTGTTAACATTAAAAATAAATAAATAAATTTTTTTAAAAAAATAAAATAAAATAAAAGAAAAGAAGGAGAAAGAGATGAAGAAAAAGGATTTTGAGGTGATAAAATATAATAAAAATAGGTGAGGTGATGGGTAGGAAAACCAGATCAGGCACATAGAAGTTTGTAGATCCATCTACTTCACTCCATGATCATGGATTAAAAAAAAAGAGAGGAAGATTTGAAGTCCTGGAAATTGTTCATTATGTACTTGTACTGTTTTGTTTTGTTTTTTTTGCTTTTTTTTTTAACGGTCCACTTCATGTTTACATAATGGGTGTGGTTTCTATAAGGTTGCACCCTTAAACAATCCAATTAAGCTGCACCTCGTAAAACATTCTTAGGATTATCTCAAAATCTATTTCCATATTTAATTATAAATTTTTGAATTCCAAAAATGGTAATAGATCTATAAACATATGAAAATCTTGAAAATAGACGGTCTAAATAATGTGTTGCAAGATGCACTATTTATGGGACTCAGAATCTTTTTTTTTTTTGTTCATATTCATACATCTTGTGGTTGAGATGATCAATTAGAAGGTTTTTCAACATTAAAACAACCTTTTTCGATGGATTTTGAGGTGCATCAATAATTCTACATTTTAAGGTTGCAACCTTATATAAACTTTTTTCCCTTACATAAATCGGCTATATTTATTATTTATTTTGAACTCTAAAATCCACATTTAAGGTGGAGATAATTTTATAGGTGATCTAAGGTATGTTCGGCCCTATCTGGGATAAATGCTGGCCAGTAATAGAAGAGTATTTTAGGGCTCTATAAACCAATTTGTCATATCGAAGAAATTATTCAAAACGTCGAACCACCTCGAAAACTAGAGGTCAAATCAATCAATTTACAAAGGTACTTATAGTAAAAAGTATTGTATACAATGAGACCATTTACCTTTATAACCATCCAATGTGAAATCTGATAGCTTTGATATATCATAAAGTTCGAGAATTTTTGTTTTTAACTTTGAACTTGGTTAATTAAATAAATGCAGCCACCCAACTTCACATCTAATGGTCAAGATTAAATGTGACCATCTTGTACAAAAAGTAAAATGGTCTCATCATATACTTTCCCTATTTTAAAGAGAATTCTTCATTCGAGTGTCATCAACTGTTTTATTACAAAATACTCAAAATTCCTCTTTAACGACTTTGAGATTGAACATACATAGTTGTTTTAGTGACTTGACCCACTAAAGTCACTTGAACCAAATAACACAACTAACCTTATTTGTTATAGGAAAATTATTTTATGCATGCGGGACTGCATTTCTACAATATGCAGTCGCAGGGTATAAAGTATCCATCTTAAAGATGGATGTAAATAAGTGGTCCATCTAAAAACAATTGAAACTAACGGTCCAAATGTCCTTCTTAATAGAATTATTCTTTATATTTTCAAAATTTATTTATTTATTCATAATCATGATATCCATGTTCGAGATTATATGTCCTGAAAAATTAAATCCAAAAATCCATTTCAAAAATAGATTTTTAAGAGCATAACTCATTTCTACATGGACACGGGAATAGTTTATATAGAGCCTGGGCTCTAAACAATCAAATTAAAGCCTACATCAAAAATTTCACTGCAAGGGGTTGTATTGATGCCCAAATATCATCAAATTGATCATCTCGACATCAAAATTCATGGACACGAGAAAAAAATGGATTTCAAGTTTTGGAAATAATGTATATTGTAAATGCATTTTTTGACAGTCAATTTTCAAGATTTTCAAGTTTTTATAGATCTGCTCGATATACACTATTTTTTAAGTTTTAAATTTTATAATTAAAAATGAAAATATATTTTAAGGCTATTACAAATTTTATTTGATTGTTTAGAGCCTCGGCTCTATACAAACCGCACCCTTTATTAAAATGTATTGTTCGAGATGGAACCCATGATATACGTTATTTGACTATATTTAAATGGCCCCAAACGATCGAATTACGTCTGCTTGTTCCATATCCAAACACACAACACGCGATATTTGCATTAAAATCTCATATCTCAAGTTTGAAATTCATAACAAGTTGGCTCAACCGTTGCCATGCAATGTTGTAAGATTCGCTGTGGAGTGAGAAAAATGAAGTAATTGGTCGATTTGGGGAAATACTTCAGACATTTTTTTAAAATTTTAATAATAAATAAATTATATATTTATATATATAATATATATAAATAATAAAAAATTTAATATAAAAAATCTTTTATATATTTATTTACTAGCGGAAGCAGAGCCCCGAAGCATACCCAAAACAGATCTGAAATTGATCGTAGTGGCCCGAATCTAACCAAAGCAGCACCACTAAGCTTCTCTTCGCTTCAGTTTAGGACTAAAATCCAAAGGCTTTGATCTTTTCGACCGAAGCGAAGCGAATTTGATAACATTGGTGCCATGTGCTCAATTACTCTAATCCTCCTATGTGTTTACTCAATATTCAAACTCCCAACAAGAGTATTTTGAAGCATATTTTCGTAAGGAAAAAATTTATATAAGGTTGAACCTTGTACTATTGAAGTAAGGTACATCTCAAAAATATTTTAGAAGAGAATGTTTCAACATTAAAGAACCTTCCGATTGATCATATTGACTTAGAGATGTGTGAATACAAAGAAAAAAAAGAATATCAAATCCTAAAAGTAGCATATCTTGTAACAAATTATTTAGATCGTTGCTTTTCAAGTATTTATAGATGAAGAAAGTTTATATAAGGATGCTACTTGATAATGTAGAACTATGGATGCCCCTCAAAAATCCATCGGAAAATGTAGTTTTATGTTGAAAAACCTTTTGATTGATCATCTCGACATCAAGAGGCATGACTATGAAAAATGAAAAGATTTTAAATCTCATAAATAGTGCATTTTACAACATATTATCTACACCATCCATTTTTCAAGATTTTTATATGTTTATAGATCTACTTGATTTTAACCATTTTTGAAATTTAAAATTTTATGATTATATATAAAAATAGATTTTGAGATAATCTTAAGAACAAATTATATGGAAATTATATACTATGATAAAATTTGAAGGCGCATCTTACCTCTACACCTATGGATGCATTGAATGCAAACTGCATTTTTTATAGATTTGCTCATTTTGTACTTTTTTTTTTTTTAATTTCAAATTTTATAAATTAGGATGAACAAATATTTTCAACCCCGTACACCAGAAGTACATCACGGAGCAAATTTTAGAGGTATGCCTTTTGTTTTTCTATAGGAGGTGCCTTACAAACCTCACCTGTAAAACTATTGTAAAAATATTTCAAAGAGGTACCTGAATAAAATAATAATATCTAGATAATCATTATCACAGAAAATGCGGTTGATGGGACCCCTCAAGTGAAACTTTTAAATCTCTCGCGAATGGTTTGACCAATTTAATGATAGTTTCCCTCCTTTTCCTTTATTTGTAGTCCCGCCCTATTTTCAACATAAAACCAAAGTCGCGGGAAAAAGTGTAGGAGAGAGAGAGAGCAACGGGCACCGGGAAAATAGTAATTTGCAGGACAATCAAAAATTTGGCACACATTTGCCGAAATCCCGCCTCTCTCTCACTAAAAAAAATTGCGTCATAAATTTCTGATCATTGTCACCCCTAATCTATTTAACAAAAAAACCACCATTTCAAATCCCTTAAACTCTCTCTCTGCAAAGGTCTCGTTTTGCCTATTCTCCGAGCTAGGGCACACGCAGCGGCCGCTGGAATCGGGCCCCTCGCCGCTTGTTCTATCACCTACGGTGATTTTTCGGCGTGTTTCCGTGTTTTCCGGCTTCAATGGCGGGTTCACCAGAGGGAGAGAAGAAAGAGGAAGAAATTGTTAAAGGTGGGGAGCTTCTCTTCTGGGGAGGAAGCAGCTGGGATACACTTGGTCAAAAGGTTACTGATGCTTCTGCGAATCTGGTTTCGCCCACAAGGCTCAGGTCGCTTCTTGGGGTCAATATTAGCTTTGTGGCTTCAGGATGCGGTACTATGATTCAACTGTTATTGGTTGTTCTTTTGATTTGCTTTGTTTCGTTAATATATTTGTCTGCATTTGTTTTTTCGTGTGTGCTATGGTTGATGAGATTACTCGTCCATTTTTGTTTTCCTGGATTCGCATTAGTAGTTTGAAATGTTCCTGCCGATTGTTTCTTACCATTTTTCTTGGTGTGTTTCATGTATTGGGATTAGTAGTTACAGAAACTTGTGGGAATGTTTTGTCTATTTTTTTCGGAAAAGTGTTTCGTGGATTGGATTAGTGGATATGAACACTGGTCGCTGTTTATTGCAGAACTGTTAGTGGTTGATAATGCATTTTTGTGTTGACTTATGCTGTTTGCTTTGCTTTAGTTTTGGAGTTGTGAAAGCATTTTAACCAATGTTCTTTTTTTGATAAAAACATTTTAGCCAATGTTCAGCTGCATTTGTAGAAGAGAGGTTTGTCAACTTTTGGCGGGTGGGCATGCTTGGACTTGTAATGCAAACCAAATAAGTTTTGATATTGAGAACCCCTCCTTTGATCACCACATGTTGAATAAAGTGCTTAAAGTGTAACATGGAACCAGCACAGAAGGCTAATCACACTTTCATTATCTGATTTTTGATTCCTTCAGTGAAATCTAAATGCACCATTGTCACCCATTCTACGTCCATGAAAAAGGCTCTTAGTGACATTAAGAGAGCACAGAATGATGAATGTGTTTCTTGTGCCATAAAATTTACCTGGAGTAGAGAAGAAAAAAGTAACAACTTAGAAGAAAAATTCTAATAACATATATCTCCATTTTGTTTTCACAATTTTGTTTAAATTATTAAAAATTAGGGATTATAAAGTATTGACACTGTAGCAATTGGTTTGATAAAATTTGGTAAAGGTACTTAAGTATATGAACACAAATTACAAGAGCCCACTATGCATATGGACTTTGAAGGTCTAATCATTTCAAATATACTTCAATCCTATGTTTAGAAGGCTCACCACTAACCACTTAGCGTTGTGCTGAAGAACTCTCCTTGATTCTCATGGTTTCTCTCGGGAAACTCACTTCAAATTCTACACTCTCTTTATATGTTTTCCCTTTCACTTCTCAACTTCTATAAGGTCCTGCCACTGACCTCTATACTGGACTCTAACTGCGAGACAGTCCAAACTCCAACACTGCATGACAGAGTGAGCACCAATTTTTCACTAGGATGTTTCTATGCATGACACGATGAGTATGCTGGCCTAGGGAAGGGATGGTGCCTCTTTCTTTACTTTCTTGGGTCCTTCATATTTGAGTGCCCTTACATTATCTTTCTTGGATCCCTCAAATTTGAGTGCCTCCTTTGATCTTGATTGAGGTAGCCATTTTTGGATCTAGGTTGTTTGGATGGGTTGATGGATGGATCACCAGGAGCTTTGTGAAGATGCCCTTTGCACATGTTGAGTGTGTAACAGTGCAATTTTCCCAGCCACTTACAAAGTTCCCTTGATTGACATTTATAATGTTCACTAAAAGGTTCATCCACAAATTAGCTATATCCTGAGGACACATTGCTTATGATGACATTCATGAGGAAACTTTTGTGTCACTTCTGCTCATGTTTAGACCTCCCTGTCAAGTTCTAGTGGTTTGTTGACTCAAGACAGTTGCAGGGAGCTTGGCTTCTGGATTTTAATTTAGTTCTTCGATGTTGGGGTTTAATAGGTTTGTGAGTACTTATTCCATCTAAATAAAGGATTAATTGAACGGAACTGTGGTATTAGCGTTTGGCATTTGAAATGATATTGAAGTGATGCCCGTTCTGTTTAGCACTTGAAGAAAAGTCATTGTGTTTCACTAGAATAATTTGGAGCACTCCTAGAATACATCAACACATGTACACACATACACACACATATATTATTTTCTAATGTTATAAACACATGCAATTGGATTATCATAGCAAGAGAGTCCCATACATAAAAAATTGAAATTGTAGATCCATGAGAAGAATGGGAGTTGAAATTTATCATTATACTCCTATAGTCTTTGAATGGTGCTCATGAAACATTGACAACATATCTATGTTTTCGTATCAATACAATGAATACAAGAGACACATAAATATTTTACAAACACAAAACATTACTCTTACGCGTGCACACAAACTACTATACTATAGCGAGTTAGTGACTCTATTCATCTTTATATTGGACAATTCCTTTGATCACCTACGAATTATCAAAAAAAGAAGAAGATTGTATCATCTTTTATATTTGCCTCTTTTTATAATAAGTGGTGATGCTTGTTCCTGTGTGTCACATGGTATTTGGCTATTCTGCGATGAGATAGAAACCGAGACAGCTGCTTCCGGCAGTTCATGGAAAGGAAGTAAGCAAAGAGAAGAGGTCAGTAGTGAAAGTAAAGCAAGTCAGGTGTAGGGTAGCTTATAACTAGCACCGTTGTCTATTGACATGTGGGAATTTGACTATTGCAGAATAAATTGATATCCTTGCCTAGAACTTTGTGTCCCCTCTTTTTTATCTAATACAAGCTACTTCAGTTTTTCTATTCATTGGATTGTTTACATTATATTCTAGCTGAATAGACTCTCATCTTGAGTTCACTTCTCTCTAAAATATCATCATCGTCATAAACAACTCTTGTAGTTATATTAGATTTAGAATAAAAAATTGCTTGCAAAGTAATGATTAGTGGCTTGCAAAGTAATGATTAGTGGCTTGCAACCTTCACCATGTTATGGAATGTTGTGAACTCACCACCATAGGTGGGTATGAGATTCTAGACGTTCAGGATCTTAATCTCGTGATTCATGGGATCTAGATCCAACAGGAGGAGTATCAGACTCTTATGGCTAATAGGATCACTGTCCCTCATGGCGTTGGTCCATAGGATCGATCCCTGGTGATGGCCTTCTTTCCAAGTTCCTACACTACAACTGTCAAATCAAGGCTTTGGAGCAGGACCACCGATTGCCTATAGAGCTCTCCATAACTATGCTCCCACTCCCCTCAACAATAAAAAAAGAACAAAAATAGTGATGCTAAGACTGGAGATTTACACATTTGTTTACCTCATATTTATGAACCTTTTTTTGAACCTTGCCATTTCTTTGTTAAACTTGAAGTTGTGATTTGTACGTGTTCGTGCAACAATTGTTGATTGCCTCAATATTTGGCCTTTTATATTGGTCACCTGTATTTTCATGGCTTCAGTTGATGTTGAGTAATTTATTTGGCATTGATGTATTTGCATGGAAAGGATTTGTCAATGAATTTGATTTATGCTTATTGATTGAGGGTTTATCTAGATTTCATTTTAATAGGGTAGTTTTAGGTTTATTTTTAGTTGTTCTTTTACTCTTGTATTGCTTTAGTTTCTTCTTACAATTGGTTTACTTTATCCCTTCCCCCCCCCTTCCTCCAGTTTCTCTTCCCCCTCTCCTCCTAGCTATTTATTCTCCCCTCATCTCCTCTTGCTGTATACTCTGAGCACCCAGGTTGTGAGCTGCCTCTATCTTTCTTAAATAGTATGTAATTTTCCTAATTTATAAAGTTAACTTACTCTCAAGAAAAAAACCTGGCTCTACATTTGGTTCAGTGATTTGGTCTTTTTAGAAATAGAAAAAATATGGCAAACATTTGTTATTACATTTTCTCTTTCTTTCTTGAATTGTTTTTTATAGCTCATGGTGCGGCTTATTGTGCAGCTTCGTGCCATTGTGTTGCTTTGGATGTTGATGGTCGTTGCTACACTTGGGGGCGGAATAAGGTATCGTCATTTTTATTGTTATCTCCTAACTCAACTGACATTTTTTCTGTGAAGTGTAAACTTGCAAACCTGATTTTACAGAAAGGACAACTGGGGCATGGGGACACTGTACGACGTGATAGACCAACAGTTGTGTCTGAATTATTGAAGTGAGTTTATATGGCTCCATGAAATAACTTAAATGGTGCATCTGCTGTATTAATGTTTATTATGCTTGTCCTTTTGTTGTTGCTTAAATAGTTTGCCATCTTGTCATCTTCATATTATTAATAGATGATATGAGTTATGCTTGGCAAAAGGCTAGCTAGTTGTTAACTTGTGATTATAATGCATGTTTGCCATATGTGTTGAATATAATTTACATTGGTCAAGTTGTAGGTATAGAATGGAAGGCTATAGTTTTCTTTTTTTTTAAACTGTTTGACTTGTGTATAAATAAAAGTAGTTACATATCCACCGAGGTGGTAAAAAATTGGCAGCCCCCAAAAAGGGTGCTCCACTAAAGTGGTAAAAAATGGCAGCCCACAAGATGGGTGCTCAGAGAACAAGAGAGAGGGTAGAGGAGAAGCAAAAAAAGATGAAAAAAATACATATACATGAACATCTGAAACTAAAAAATACTGCAAGAAAGGAGAGTAATCTCAATATAAAATCCACAAAGAAAATCCGCTGGGTTTAAGAGTCGTTAAGAAATGAGCATAGGATAGTCGTTGGGCCCAAAAACTGAGAGGGCAGTAGTAAAGCTCTGCTGCCAAGTGATGACCTGACAAAGAAGGATTCTGTCACCAAATATTTCTGCTAGGTGGCCTTTCGCATCTCTCTACTAGGGGCCAAAGGGAGATCTGTGCGCGAATTGCCCATAACAACCCGTCTGCCAAGGGCCAGTAAGAACACCCCTGCCATCGAGGCGGAGCACTGCCCCAAGGACCTCTGTAGGGGGAGCATGAGAGGGGCATGGTGTCGAACCAGAATGGTGGGAGAAAGCAGGGAGGGCCAAAAAGAAAAGAGATGAGTGTGAGAAGAGAAGAGTGAACGGCCTTCAATAAATAAGGTAGAGAGTGATTGGGGGAGAAAGAGAGTAAGGAAGAAGAAAAGGAGTAGAATTTTGGGAGAGAAAAGAGTAGTATAAATTTGGGTAGGGGGAGACAAAATGATAGAGGGAAATTAAAAGTGAGAAGGGGAGAAAGAGAGTAAGAAAGTAAAGGAGTAGATGTTACGGGAGAGAAGAGAACAAATATAAACATGGGTGAAAAAAGACAAAAGGATCGAGGGAATTGAAAGAGGACGAAGAGAGGAAAGAGAGAAAGAGAGGTTACAGAGCATGAGGTTGGCGAAGACAACGTGGTAGGGGGAAACGAGAAGGAAGTGGGAAGAAGAAATCAGAGGAGGGAAAAGAAGGGGGGTAGAGAGAGAAACTGATGACGATACGGATAAACTCTTAAAATTTTTTTTTTTTTTCTTTTTCTTTTTGAAAATTGAAATTGATTCATCATCATCATCATTGTCAAAGATTTTTTTTAACTATTTGGGGTCGGCCACACGAATCTTGGTCCACCATATGTTCTATCAAGGGCCATACCCTCAATGAGATCATAAGTCTTCATATCTTTTCTCACTACTTCCAACTATGTTCTTTGAGGCCTACCCCTTTGCCCTTTTTATTTCTTCTTTGAACAAACTTGCACATCCTAACATGTGGTCTGTGTTGCATATGACAGCTCACCTAAGTCTATTTTCTCTCATTTTATCGTCAATTGGAGTCACACCTAAGTTCTGCCAAATATATTCATTTCGAATTCTATCCTTTCTTGTCTTGCCACTTATCCATTTCAACATCCTCATCTTAGCGACACTTATCGGATGGGTATGTTGTTTCTTGACCATCCAACATTCTATCTCGTAAAGCAAAGCTAGTCTTATAATTGTTCCATAGGACTTCCCTGTCAACTTCATTGGTATGCGGCGATTACAAAAACTCCAGTTGCACATCTCTACTTTGCGAACCCAACTGTAATACTATGTGCGATATCTTCTTCAATCTTTCTATTTTTTTAGATTATCGACCCAAAATATCGAAAATGCACTTTTTTTGGTATTTCTTGGACGTCAATTTTACCTACTTCCTTGTCTCTATTCCTATTATTTGCGAAATTGTATTCCTTACAGCTTGCCTTAGTCTTGCTAATTTTTGAAGCCTTTAGATTCTAGAGCATCCCTAACTTTGTGTTGACGCCGTTTAAGGTCATTGATCAAAATTATGCCGTTCGTGAACAACATACACCACGGTACCTCATCCCATAACTAAAGCAAAGCGATATGGGCTCAACCTTGGATTTAGGCCTATTGTCATTGAAAACTTGCTCGTTTCTCCACTAGTTGTTCGCACACTAATTAGCACTCCTCGTACATATCTCTCACCAACTTGACATAGTATTTGGAGACTCCTTTTTTTTCAGTACTCACGAAATTAAATCTTGAGGTACTCTATCATAAGTTTGCTCTAGATCAATAAAGACTATGTGGAGGTCTTTTCCCTTTGCTCTGAACTTCTTAATCAATTGCTTAAATAGTAAAATAACTTCAATTGTTAACCTCCCTGTCATAAAACCGAATTGGAAAATTGAAACTGATTGTGTCACTTAAATTGGTACTATATTCCCCAAGATGGACATTTTAAATTAAGAACATCAAAGGCCTTTGCTGATTTTGTTCAAGTGGAAGGTCCTAGAAGGGCAAGGGCAAGGCCCAAAAAGAAATGGATGGAAGTAGTGAGAAGTGATATGGTGACTTATAGTTTGATTGAGGATAAGTCCCTTGATAGAGGGAATGGCAGAACATGATTTGTGTAGCCAACCCCAAATATTTGGAAAAATGCTCACATGGTGATGATGATGCCTACTACAAGAAAAATTGCCAAGAAAACTGTTATAATAGGATTGATTGCATTGAAGTCTCAAAAAAAAAAAAAAACGAAGAAAAAAAGAAAAGAAAGAAGATTGATTGTATTGCTTAATAGAAATACCCCTTCTTTTACCCAATTAGTCTTCTCTACATCTTGTGAGCTTCATATATGGTCATACAAACGAGTCAAGGTGGTAGTTGCTGTGCTTACTTGTTTGGAACTGGTTCACTATTTGTTGATTGCAGTGTATTTTATAAAATTATGTTTGTCCTTTAAGAAGCTTTGTCCAGCAGGAAATAGTTTCTGGATGGCAGCAGTTGGAGCTGGAGAGGAAATAGAACTCCAAGCCTTGGAGGTTTAACTTTACATGGGGAAAAATCATTGTCACTTGGAGTTGGGTAGATGTATGGAGATCTGAACTCCCTCCTCTAAATATATTGTGAAGCTCTCAGAAAATTGACACTTCGCATTTGCTCTCAATCTTTTGACTACTTTATCAATAGCAATAATATTCTTTGTTTGTCAACATAGCCTTCAAATATGAACTTTTAGGAAAAGCTTTCATAACCTTTGACGCCGGAGATTCTGCAATATCATACCAATAATTGACTTACAAACAACATGCTAGAATGAATAAAATTCCATTAGCTCCAGGAGAGAGCGCCTTTGGATCACCCATAAGCATGCATAAGAATGGTTCGGAAATAGTATACATAAAAATGAGGAATAAGCAGTCCGATTAACTTCTGATAAGCATATATGATATGCAATTTCTCATGCAATTCAATATCTTGGTATGTAATTCAAAATCCTAATGGTATGCGTTTTTTCCCACGCTCTACTGGCATCCTTCACTGTGAATTTCATTTGCCTTTGCTCCATATAGTGCCAATTCTATGTAACATTTTTATGTTGAACCTTTTTAAGGCAACTCAAACTTACTAATCTTTAAGGTGTGGAATACGCCTACCATGGTGCTAGTGGATTCATCTCCTTTCACAAGTGTATCCCTCTTGCTCCCATTACATGTGTAATTTGGACTAGGATATGATAGCTCAGCTAGTAATTGAGAAAATCAATTCCCAATATCTCTTCCATTATCGTTTTCTGGCTACATTGTTGAATTTTAGCCTAGGTTTACTGTATATGTCAACTGTTTTGCTGCAAGACCTTGTATTTCTGCAGTTTTTATCCAAGTTTCTTCTGCTTGATCTAAATCATTTTGTAACTCCATCTTATGGATTTGCCTGAGAGTGAGTCCTGAAGCAGGTGCTGAATAGACTGAGACCCACCCTAATAGACCTCACCCAACGGCCCATCTATTAATTTGATTGTTATAGACACTTGCTGCAATCTATTTTGATAGTCATATGAATCTTAGTATACTTTCTCAAATTAAAATCAATGTAGTGACCGCATCTCAAAAGTGTATCTTCACAAATAAAATCTTAAAAGAATTTCATATGGTACATTTTCATACTGATTGTTTTATGAATTTTTCCTGAACTTCAAATTATTTTTCCTTGAGATGGGAACTTTGTCAATGAATTATTTTGGTCATGTGTCCTTTGGGAAGGCATCTGGCAAGGACAGCTCGGTGGCAGGTTGTTTAGGATGCATAATGATATATATGTGAGTGTGTTGTCTGTTTGTATGCACACAAGCATGTATTGATCAATATTTGTTGGACGCAGGCATAAAATTGTTAAGGCTGGAGCTGGTAGGAATCATACTCTTGTTGTTACTAGTGATGGACATTCCTTTGCATTTGGTGAAAACAAGCATGGTCAGCTGGGTTCAGGTTCTGCGAGGAATGGTAAGCCGACAATTGGGCCAATGAGGTCTGATGAAACTCTTTTTCTGCTTGTTCTTCCGAGATCTTTCTTTCTTGCAGACATCTGCTGTTTATTTGCATGATTTCTTAGCCGATAGAGCTCTCGGTTTGTGCTTAATTTGCTTTTTGTGTAATTTTCTATGGTATGAAAACACTTATCGTGGAAGATTTCGGTTTTAGGAAGATGACAAATCGTCCTTTTTCAGAAAAAAAATAAAAATAAAAGGTAGTTTAGGTGTTCCTTGGCTACTGAATTCCTATAAGCATGTCATGAATATTGTTATTGAGTGGCTACAACCTGCTGGAGTGGTCATTTGGAAAGTTAAACTTCCATGCGGGGATTTGTTCTTCCTGCATTGTCAGAATACTATCAGGTTATTTTTCTCCAGCTAGTGTGGCATTATAGTTCAAATGTGTATGCTCATGCTCATTGGATTACAGAAATGAAGTCAATATAGTACAGGCAAACTGTGATTGTCTGCATTTCCTCTTTAAAACTCGTGCGTTCCATCTTGAGAATGCTATACAAAATTGGCCTCTTACAATCCTTTACCTAATCTATGCCTGATAAAATTCTGCACGCATTTTTGGAACTTCTGTTACCTCCTTGTTCTGTACCTCACTAGCCTAAATACTACATTTGTGATTGCTCCTCTTAGAATAAGCAATGGTGTGGATTAAGTTCAGTCTTTGTGTCTTCAACACAATTAACCTCACTCTAGACAGTGAGTTCTTTATGCACAAAATCTTGATTCTCTGTGACTCTCACCTTATGTCTCTTGTCCTCACTTAGAATAAGCAATTCTTTCTGTCTACATACGATAGTTTAAAAGGGTAAATTCTTATGCTCTCCTATTCTGGTAAAGTATTTTGGTTCTGCTCTTTTTGATCTTCTAAAGTTATTTTTCCGTATTTGCTTTGACCTCCCAAATATTCGTCCTTGAACATTTTCCCATGGCTAGCTGCCCATCCCCCTATCTTCTTTTTGTCCTGCCAAACCATAGGCCATCGGGTTACTCCGAACATATATGGCTGTGTTTTTTGGAAAGTAATCTTTCAATCTTACTTTTGTACTTTGATTCTATCTATAGCAAGGTGTGGGGCTAATCCTGTTGGCAGCAAGCTTCCATACCTGATCGATCTTATTGATGTCCGCTATTTAAACATGTCTCTGAGTTTGAAAGTGAAGTTTGCTTAAAGACCTCAATAATTTGATAATTCATATTAATTGCTTCCCAGAAATTCTTCCAATAACCATCTCAGAATTTTCTAGTGCATTAATTATATTAGCATGAAATGTTATCAGTGAACTGGAATAGTTTTGTACGTTTATCTATAGAATTCTATATCTGTGTGGTTCGATAACTTTTTAATTTGGATGATTGACATGACTGGCGCAACTTCCTGTGTTTCCCTTAGGTTTCACTTTGTGCTCCCATCTGTAAGCACTTTCCACAATGGCTGGTCCGCTGTGTAATCGCTAATCGACAAAAACCTTGAGATTGCATACCTAACCGCTCAACCAATATCCCAATCTTGATCCACTTCAACTTACCGCTTCACTCGCTCAGGTTTTTAATATTAATAAATGGAACGTATCAGTTTTATTGAGCACCGATTCCTCGAGTCCTGATGAGAAGCGCTCCTGATTTGACTTTTTATGAGTTGCGAATGATCATAACCTGAGACATGATTGAGACTCATGAATTTTTGTCTTCTTGATGTTGAACCTAGTTGATTAATGTCCATACTGTAGATTTCTGTCAATCTTAGAAGGCATTGTGATATTTCTACAAATTTTTTTCTTTAAATGCTTCCCAAATTGTTCAATGTTCTTGATTTCTTTAGGAAGGATACTAACATTTCGATTGTTGATTGACGGTTATATCTATTTGGAGTTTGCCTTGGTTTGGAATCTCAGGTTCGGGTTGCATATCTTAATGTTGGAAAGTTATGTTTTTCGTTATGGTAAATCTCTTTGATGGTTGTATACTCCCTTGCTTTGAGGAAGCATTCATGTTATTCAGGATATGACATGATAAGCAGTTGCACACTTCTAAAACATGTTTGTAGTTGTTTTATTTGTTATTTGCAACATATGTAATTTGTGGTGTAATTTGGTATTTATCAAACGAACCAAGACCAACACCACAGTCCTAATTGTATATGTTGATGACATTGTGGTAACTGGTAAGTGTCTTAAGGAAGTTCAGCTACTTAAGGGTTTTCTGGTGAGAGAATTTGAAATCAAAGATCTAGGTCCGCTGAAGTTCTCTCTTGGAAGTGAAGTAGTCAAGTCGAAAAGGGGAATTTTCACCTTTCAAAGCAAGTATATACTGGATCTCCATAAGGAAACTGGAAAGCTTAGGGCTAAGCCAGCTGACATACTTGTAGAACAAAATTACAAGCTTGATGATCATAAGGGTGAAGCTCTCAAGGATGGGGGTATGTTTAAAAATTAGTGGGTCGACTAATATATCTTTCACTTAGGTGTGGGTATGTTTAAAAATTTAGTGGGTCAACTAATATATCTTTCACTTAGATGCCAGGTGTTTCATATGCTTTGACCTTGATTAGTTAATTTATTCATTCTTCACAAACTAGACACCTTGAGGATGTTGCTAGAGTGCTCAGGTATCTAAAATCATTACCAAGGAGAGGATTGCTATTTGCTAGTTTTGGGCACTTATGGTTTGGAACCTATACAGATGCAAACTACGTTGGTTATGTTATGGACCGAAGATAGACATCAGGGTATTGTTGGAGGGAACCTTGTAACTTCGAGGAGTAAAAAGCAGTTAGGTTATAGCATGATCAAGTGCAGAAGTTGAGTATAGATCCATGGCTCGTGGTGCATATGAATTGCTCTGGCTAAATATCCTTTTACAAGAACTTGGTTTTTCCTTGCAACAATCAATGTCCTTGTATTGTGACAAGAAGGCAGTGATCAATATAGCTCATAATCATAGTTTTAAAAAGCGGACCACCTAGCATTTAGGCGGCTGCCTAGGCAGTCCAAAAGGCTTGGGCCCATCGCCTAGGCTTAGGCTGCCAAACTAGGCGGATATCCTTGGGTGTCCGTCTAGGCGTTCGGGAACCCGCCTAGGTGCCTGCCTAAACCCGCCTAGGTGCCCTCCCAAGGACGAAAATGCACACACACAATGTTCTTGAAGATTATCCTTAAGGATATTTTTGGGTCATTTTTTAATACAAAGGGGCAAAATTGTGGGTTTTAGGTTCATTTGAAATCTAAAACCCATTAGAGGCTATTTTAGAGCAAGAAAACTAACCAAAAAAAAAAAAAATCTATTAGGCCGCTCAAGGTTTGGGCGTTGGGTGGCCTGGACACCACCACTCCCAGACTGTCTAGGTGCCGCCTAGCACTTTTTGAAACACTGCTCATAATTCAGTTTAGCATGATAGTGCCAAGCATATAGAAGCTGATCAACATTTTATTCTAGGAAGGGTTGCTACCCAGGGAATTCATCTATCATATGTTAAAATAGAAGACCACCTTGCAGACATTCTTATCAAAGCTGTGGGGAAACCACGACTGCAAATGATTTTAAGCAAGCTGGGCATGGCATATATCTATGCACCAGCTTGAGGGGAGTGTTGTGAATAATTTGATACAAATTTATATCTTCGTGTATTCAAGTCCTTGAGGACTTATTTTTCTTTTCCTTACTCAATGAATGAAAATTTGGCCTCCTTGCCACCTAGGCAGCCATTTTCTCAATCCGCCAAGGTGTTGGGGTTTGGGTGGGCATGACTAAGGCAAGTGCTTAGGCGGGCTCAAGGCAGTTATGGGCACCTACCTAATACTACCCCTTAAAAAAATAAATCCAAATAAAAATTAGGCATGTGTATTGCCCTTCTCTCTCTCTCTCTCGGATGTATGTGCTCTCTCTACATCCGAGGAGAAGAAGAAGATAGACTCCAATTGTTTGATATACTCCCTCTCTCTATCTCTCTCACACATAAAGATAGATATGGACCCTTGATGTAAGAAGAAGAAAACGAAGAAGATGACCTCCAAGTGTTCAACGTGAGGTCCCTCTCTGTCACAAACTCTTTCTCTCTCGATCGACATATTAGAAGAAGAAAAAGAACATCCTCCAAGTGTTCAAGACCTCTCTCTCAAAAATACGAATCCAAAAGAAAAAAAAGAAAGGAGAATCTTCAAGAATTTCATGCGAGGCTTCACACATATGCACACTTGCACACACACACACACAAAAACTAAACACATACACACACATGTTGCCACCACCCCAATCCCTTGCAAGGATCTGCGCCCTTTGCCCAACCCATCTGCCTTTGTGTCTGGGCGCCTACCTAGGTGGCTCAAACCAATGACTGCCTAGGCGGTCGCATCTGCCTAAGCGGCCGTATCCGCCTTTTTGAACCTTGCCCTTACTAAAGGGGTAGTTTTGTACTTTATACTGTTATATGAGTGGGGCATGGGGGTCATTGAGACCAACATTCCGTAACTCGCCCAAGTCCTGTAACTCACCTTGTGGGTGAGGCTGAATAGGGGCGAGTTCCATGACCACTCTCCCCACCCATATAAACCTCTTAAAAAATATAAAATAATAAAACCACAAAGAAAGCGAAACTCCACTATATTAGTTAGAATTAAGTTTTTTCTAATAGTTTTGATGGTTTTTAAGATGATTTAGGAACATTCATATTTTTCCCTTTTTTAAATTTTTTTTTGAAATGTTCAAATTCTAAATCAAAATATTCAATAACCCATCTTTTATAGATTTTTTTTATCTTTTTAGTCTTCTAATAGTTCCTATTACCTCTTTTAGTTTTTTTCTTATTTGAACTTTTTCTTTAATTTCTTTCACCCTTTTTTCAGTATTTTGTGTTGTATGTAGCTTGGCCAAATTCAAGTGGACTCAGTAGAGTTACTTAGTTCTGCGAAGGCTCGAGTACTTTGGCCAAGTCGATTTCCAAAACATTGATTGAGACAC